AAAAAAAAAAAAAAACAACAACAACAACACCACCACCACCACCGGATGCTAAGCAGTAAGAAGCAAGATTGCATCCATCATAAGAAGGGAAAAGGCAACAAAACTCTATGACAAACCCTTATTGTTTAGGTTATGCCTGTCACAGTATCATGATAGTAGCTAGAAAATTCTCGAGTATTAAGATAAAAATAGGCCTTTAAGTAATTATTTACTCAACAAATTACAGATACGAGGGATTAATTTATCATACTTCATTGTCCTCAAATCCCAAAGTTGAACTGATGAATCACATGTTAAAGATACATTATTGAAGTCGTGCGGGTCCCACGCTCCGCCACTTAAACTATGACGCATGCCGGCTGATTCTTTTGATTGTACCTAGATCACAAAGCAAGATCGAACTAAGAATAAGCTCAAGAAATCAGGAACTAAAAGGTCATTATATCTGTTAAGACCTTTGCTGACATAATTGTATCGGTGTCCAAAACATCAAGGTGCAATGTGGACCACATAGAATATGAAAAGAGAAAAACTACCCAGAATGATACTGACTACTTAGTTTTAATAACAAGGCAAGACACAATAAAAAATTATTAGTGACCAATATTTGCATTTCATTCAGCGGAGTTCATTGATATCCTTTTCGTTAAGTAGACAAAATTGTTTTATGAATGGAAATAGAGACGGTGTAGAGTACACCTGGTGCCAGAAAAACAACAAATAAATAAATAAAATGTATGATATTGACGGTGGAGTTGGGCACATATAGCTTCCAGAACTAACTTATGTCTCCAAAGTCTAGGATAGAGTAAGAAATTAAATTTCAAAATCACGAGGTATGAATATTGTATAATGATAGGAAGAGTGAGCATCACAGTATCTACAACAACAACAACAACATACCCAGTATATTCCCAACAGGTTGGGGTCTGGGGGGTCAGTTGTACGCAGACCTTACCCTTGTAATTATACAAGGAGGCTGTTTCCGTAGCGACCCAAGGTGCATTACGCCGTTTGATATATATTTTTTTTTCTAGAAACTTCACTAATAGAAGAAGCACTAGAATTTAATTGAGCAATTTTGATCTAGTCCATTATTAGCACTATGCCAGAAGAATTGTCAACAATGACTCTTCCAGCTCCATTTGCAATGGACAAAATTTGTGGAGAAGAAAATTTGTGGAGTCAATAGTAGGTCTGCTAGTTGGAAGTCTGAACACAGTTAACATGAAATTGTTCCGCAGCAACCATAAAAATGACAATATTCCAACACTGATAATCTCATACTACAATATGGTTAAACTTCTATCTTTATTCCTTCCAAAATTTTAAGCAGACTCAAAAAAGCACACTGCAAAGTTAAATTCTGTTAAAGGGCCAAACAGTAATTGTAGAGCTGCAGATAGATAAGAAAGGCAGGTGCACAAAATGTAAGACCTATGCTTTGTCGTAACCATATCTGTCAAGTAACCTATACCTGAGCAGTCTTCTTTGAAGTATCTAAGCTCCAGAGGAAGAGATTTTGCTCATCAATACTAACTAGCTTGTCATGCCTTCCTGTAGGCCACCAGAGTACACTACATTCAAAGAGGATACAGTATCATATAAGCACACTACTATTGTTGGAAATGGGTGCTCAAAATGTTTATTATATCAAAAAACACCATGAATCTCGAAAATGTAGAGGGAAACTACTGAGTTTCATAGCTCATAGTCATACAAGTCAGGTTCACATGAAAACATCAGATAAAATACGTATCAGATCTTAAAGGTACGGAATGATTCCAATAATAAGTTTCCGATTTCATTGATTCACTGCCTTTCTCTAATCATGAGTGAAAGCTGAAAACTAATGAAACCTCATCTAGTAGGGTGAAAAATTAATCCAAATGAATTACATCTATGCCGCAGATTCCATAGGAGCATTGACAAACACTAAATAAGCAATTCCAATGCAGAGCCATGATAACTAGCACAAAATGATAAGCAAATAAAGCACAGAAAGAAAAAGGGTTATACAACAACAACAATAGCAGCAAAAATGAAAGCATGCTTTCAAAATACAACTTCAATTAGTTCACTCTAATGACGACATTTCGTCCAACATTTGTATCCATGCAACTATTATTTGTTTCTTATAGACATTATTCTGTGTATAACGTATTATTTAATTCATAGGATATTATTCATACCCGCTAACTAAGAACTAATATAATTCATGCTTACTACAGCTGAATCTCAATATCTACCTATAAAATAAAGCTCACCTTCTAATTTTGCAGGTGTGTGCATCGAGAGAAGCAACACTTTCCAGCTGAGGCGAACTAAGTTGGCCATACAACTCTGGAATTTGCCATACCGCTGCCCCATATGCTTCCCCTTTAAACCAACATAATGAACAACAAGAATCATAAATCAGTAGCAGCCTAAATTTCTAACTTAGATATGAACTATAAGAAAGGTTTCTAAATTGTCTGGAGGGAAGCTCTAAAACTAAAAACCCAAAACTCCAAATATATTTGATGTTAGAAGCTGAACCAGCTTCTAGCCAACAAAAAACTTAAATGCAAGTAAATTTAGCTGTGCCAGCAGCTCGGCTAGCTTAATAATATTACATATGCATCTAACTCATCAATTCGAGCTTCAACAAACTTAAAAAATAGAGCTATGTAAATGATGACTGAGGCTGGTAAGCCAATTAGACTAAGTCAATTTATCACCAGGCCAAACCAAGCTCTCGTGTACTAATCAGCCTAACTACATTGCACCATGGAACAATTGAATGCATTAAAAAAGAACACTACATCAAAAGTCTCGTAAGTAAATTTCCAAATTACCAGAAGAGAATACAGTAGAGAAAATCCTCTGATCAAAAGGACAAGACGCAAGATCCCATATCTCGTTCGGATGAGAAAACAAACCCTCGCAGATCAATTCAGTGCCACTAGACGAGAGCCTTATCAGATGCACCTGAGTGCGCAAACCACGTCAAAGATCACAAAAACACCACAAAGCAGCAATTAGGAAATCAATCACAGTAGACTTGGAAAACTACCTCGTTTTCTTCTTTGAGACTGAGAGTGCCGGTCAGGAAGCTCGTGTGATCTGTATCCGCCTTCACATCCGAAATGCATCTGGCCTGGTGCAATCAAAATCACTTCAGATTAAGGTTCTTATTTTCAGTTTCGTGTAAACTGACGGGAGCTCAGAAAAAATTTGCAGAAAATTTGACCTGATACTTGAGGCCGTAGCCGATGCCGGTTGATCCACCTTGCATTTTCGCACGTTCTGAAAGATCTTTCAAATGCTAAGCAGATCCGAAGTTTTTATCAGAGTCGCGAGTTGAAAGAACTACGCGTGTTCGTTTAGTGATGTATATGGATTTTTTCTTTTAACAAAGGTTAATTTTAGAAAAGTTAGTATGACTAATTGTTATCGTAATTTAAAATTTATATTAAAATAATATTTAAAATAACATAATTAAATTTAATTTTATTATAAAAATAAAAAAGAAATGATTGAAAGTATGATGTCTTCAAATATATACAAAAAGACATTGTATTTCTTATGATTTGAGATTATATGTTTTCTTTGTTATGTGATCATTTTTTAACTTTCCATATGAGAAAAGAAATACAAATAGGTTGATGTGAGCTCTTGGGAAGATCAGACGTTATCCTAGAGCCTTAATATAACCCCCGTGCCTGATCTTTGCGACAATCGGCAGCTTCAGTCGGCACGTGAGGATCACTCCCTTCCCCAAGCGTCGTTGTTTTCAGCCGTCGACTCTTATGATTTTTGGCAAAATTCTGGTCCAGTCAGTTTTGGTATTCGTGACTTTTTTAGTTTCCGTCCGTATTGATCTTTTGACTGATTTGTGATCCAATTTGTACTCTGATTTCATATGTTTTGTGATATTGTGTTGATCTATTTTTGGATATGGATCGTATGAATGTGCATTCTCCTATTAATGTTGCCTTATTAAGAGATAATTACAATTTTTGGACACAGTCTATAATTTTTTATTTTTTTTAATTCGGAGCAATCTATATCTATATCTATAGTAATATAAAGAGGTTGTTGGAAAAATACTTTTATAGTAAGTTTGACTAAAAAAATAAATGGTTTGACTTACTATTAGTGAAAATTTAGGAAAAAACATATGTACCAAAAAAATTGAGATTTTTATTGTAACAAATTTGGAGATTTTTATGGTAACAAATTTAATTGAGATATCCCAAAAAAATTGGAGATTTTTATGGCAACAAATTTGGAGATTCTTATACCAAAATTTAATTCATTTTAAATATTAATTCAATAGGAATCTACTTTTATTGGTAACAAATTTGAAGATTGTTATGTCAAAAAATTGAGATTTTGCATTGAGATATTCCAACAATTACGAATTTTTTCCCATTCAAATTAATGTTGTAAATCAAACAAAAAATTATTCCAAAAATAATGGATGTTATACCAAATATTGATAAACTCCAATCCCATAGGAGATTTCTATGGGATTATTATGGTAACAAATTAGAGATTCTTATGCCAAAAAATTGAGATTTTGAATTGAGATATCCTAACAATTTCGGATTTTTTCCCCTTCAAATTCATGTTGTAAATCAAACAAAAAATTATTCCGAGAATAATGGATGCTATACTAAATATTGATAAACTCCAATCCATAGGAGATTTTTATGGAATTCTTATGGTAACAAATTGAAGATTCTTATGGTAACAAATTTAGAGATTCTTATACCAAAATTTAATTCATTTTAAGTATTAATCCCACGGGAATCTATATTTATTGGTAACAAATTTTAAGATTCTTATGGCAAAAAGTTGCGATTTTGAATTGAGATATCTCAACAATTACAGATTTTTTTTCTATTTAAATTAATGTTATAAATCAAACAAAAAATTATTTCGATATAATGGATGCTATACTAAATTAATATCACTGGGCCCACACGTTAATATGGTATTTATTAGATAGATAAATTACGTAAATCTTTCCTAACAAAATGCGTTCCAATATTGTTAACCAATTTCATGGGATTTTGTTAACTAATTTGATAGGATTTTGATAACCACGGGATTTTGTTAGCTTTTCTTGGAAACACGTATTTTCATTATTGATAAAGTTTGATAGGATTTTGTTTCCAATTTTTTTTTCCTCTCTCGAAAATTTGATAAGGTTTGATAATATTTTGTTTCCTTTTTTTTTCTCTCTCTCAAAAATTTGAGTTGTGGATTTGAAAAAAATAAATAAATAAACATATCATATTGATAAAGTTTTAATGTGGGCATAAAAATCAATTTAAATTTGATTGAACTTTGTTTCATATAAACCTAAGAGAATCAGACGTTTGAAAAAATAAAATATTAATAGTAAATAATCATATTTGTAAGGTTTGATTTGGAATATTGAGGCATAAAAATCAATTATGATTTGATCACATTTTGTTTTATAAAAGTTATCTTAGAAAATTTTACACGTTTCAAAAAACTAAAGATTATAATTTCGTAAATTAAAGTTTTGGATTTGTCCAAATAAATAGGAAAATATCAAAACAAAAATATTATTATTCAATCTATCCAAAAAGTCTTACCAAATTTCATTGTAACAAACTCCATTATTTTTTGCTACATAATCTTCTAAATATTCGTTAGTCCCTCACAAGTGAATCACGTTCCACATTTTTTTTTTTAACAAAACCAATAACACATATTTTTAGAAGTCAATCATAATCATAATAAAAACAATCGGATCGGTCATATTAAATACCTTACGTAAATATTTTTTTATTTCCCAGACATATGGCATATACACATGACTATATAAACATCACCAATGTTGAACAAAAAGTATTCTACATCCAATACATCCCACAAAACAATTTTTTCTACAAGCTTTTACATCACCATTGAAAATGGTTTCGGATTTTGGAGTAATCAAGGATATCAAAAGATCCAATAAGTCACCAATCAAGCTACGCATAATTAGGATGTTCCAACGAGTTGAAGTCGTACGCAATTACCGAAATGTTCTTGAGATTATATCGTTCACGATTTTGAGGTAATATATTCTTTTATTATTTATTTAAATGCATCATTTTATGCAACATTTTTTATAATTTATTTATTGAATTATTCATTATGAAATGTTGTAGGGAGGACGAATTACTGGCATAATTCGACCTGTCAATATCCAAAAAGTCATCGGTGATATTGAAGAAGGTGGCGCTTATATCTTGACAAACTATCAAGTGAAAAGCAATATTGGCATCCATAAATCAATCATAGGAAAAAGGAAGATCATTATCAATGGTCAAACCAAGATTATCAAATATATGGAGGGGTGATTTATCAAATGGAGAGGTGATTTTCCTATGTATCGTTTTGACTTTAGGAACTTTCTAACTTTAATGGATGTTCGTAACATTGATGAAGCCATGTTGATTGGTACGTTATAATTTTTTTGTTTATTTCTTATTTCGATTTTCTTTTAAATTTAAAATCTGTAATACTTTTATATGTTATACATTTCAATATGATGCATTTTCTTATATTTTTGTAGATGGTATTGGATTGATTGTTTCTCATTATGTTTTCTTACGCCATGACCATAAATAAGAGCCAGGAACAATCATTATCGCATGTGGCCTTATTTATTAAGAAACCAGTGTTTAGTAATGGTCAATTGTATGTTGCTGTCTCCCGTGTCACAAACAGAAATGAGTTTGAAAGTCCTAATTTGTGGCGACTATGACGTGCCAAAGAATCAAACCATGATCGTTGTATATAAGGAAGTGTTCAATAATATATAGATTTTATTATCATTGTATTTATTAATTTATTTATTATTAATGGCATGATCTTTCATTTAGTAAGTATTTTGAATTTTAACTGAACATTGCATATAAAAAAGACCGAGATAATACCTCCGTGCATCGCACGGGGACTAGACATGTCCACGGGTCGAACCGGCCCGGAAAAGCCGGTTTTCGGCCCGGAACCGGACATATCAAGGGCCGGTTCCGGTTCGCTTCAGCAAAAAAAAAACCCGACGGGCCGGGTCCGGGCCGGTCCAGGCCGACCGTTGGACCCGGCCGGCCGGGCCGGGTTCCCGGGTTCGGTCCTCAAAATTCAAAAAAAAAAAAATTTTAACGGGCCGACCGTTGGAAGAAGGCCGAACGAAGGATGCAAACTGCTATGCTCACTTCGAATGAGGAGGAAGACGACAACGACGATGCATCCGATTTTACGTCGTCGACAAGTGGAACCGGGGGGGACGTCGAAGACGAATACGAATATTAAAGGTATGCAGCCAAGGTATGTGATTTAGAAGAACTACGTGGACTTTGATTCCCAAATAAAGGGATACGTAGGCACCTTATTTAACATTATTAAGTTCGAGTATAATTTTTTGGCAACAAAATTTTTCATCGTACACGATATTCGAACTTAATAACTGTTAACTAAGCTCAAGTCCATTACATTAATAATTTTTTTCTTTACACTTATTCGACTTCATTTGACGTACAATTTAGCATTTCTAAACTACCTCAAGTTGTACTTCTCCGCCATACTCAATAAAATACAACACCGTTAACCGTTTGGTTCCAAGAATTGACGCCCGATCATTATTTTTGTTTCATTTTGAAATGATATAGACAAACAGACTCAAAAACTTATATTTTCGAAGTATATACAAACTATTTATTCAAATAAACATTAATATACATTAAAATAACAAAAAAAGTAAAAAACCCGCAAACCCGCCGGGCCCGACCCGGAACCGACTCGACCCGCCGGGTTTGCGACCCGGCGGTTAAGGGCCGGTTCAGTGAACCGGCCCTTAGTTACAAGCGGGCCGGGCCCGGTTCACTACACGGTGAACCGCCGACCCGGCGGGCCGGGCCGGGTTTCGACCCGGCCCGGCAAATGGACACGTCTA